TGGATATGATTTGCTGAAAGAATTCGATATGGATAGTGTTTCTAAAGCCCATATTAAATCTAGAAAAAAATGTTAAGACTTTTGTTTTTAGTTAATACAATAAGTTAGATAGCCTAAAGCAACCTTAATTGTGCCCTGATATAATTTGCTATAACACCATCTTTGTGTCACTAACCTTTTATTATGGAGAGGAGAAACAAAACTGTGGGCCCCAAGAATGGCCACCAAAGTCCCCAGACCTCAACAGTTTAGATTTCTTTTTGTGGGGCTATCTTAAGACACTAGTGTATACAAGTCCCATTACACTGTAGAGAAATTAAGAGAAAGAATAGTTGCAGCTTGTGATAGAATAACAAACCCTCCAGGGATATTTCAACGAGTGCGCAATTCCAGGAGAAGGAGGGCGGAAGCATGCATACTAAGTGAATACGTTAATCAATGTTTAAAGTGTAGGTGTAGGTGGCGTCCAAGCGTTTGAAGCCAGAGAGCTGCCACATCATTGACCTTAAATAGTTTCTATCTAGAGATAGGCATACCTATCATCATCAAAGTTCCGCTTGTAATCATTCGCCCACTTCTATTGAATAAAAATATACCTTCCTAATCTGTTCATCAAGTTCCTTCAATCTCTCCTTCTCTTCTTTCAAGACTCTTTCTTTCTCTTCCTTCTCACTCGCCAACATGGCCACTTTTTCCGTGAATTCTTCGTCTTTCCTCTTGTGTATTGCGCATCGGGCCACACTTGCGTCTTCTAGAAGGGCGTCCCTTTCTTTGCGCAAAATGCTAATGATGCTGCGTTGTTTTGCCAAAGCGACGCCTGTTTCTTCTAGGAAGGCGCAACGGTCTTCTTCCATTATACGCAGCTAAAAACAAGAAACATTGAGAAAACCATCTCATTAATCTTCGACCTTTCGTATCCTCTGTGAATGCTGAGCGTTATATCACAAGAATGGTAAACCTGGAGTTTCTGTACAGTTCAAGGAAAGCAGTTCAACTCACCAAAGATGCTTCCTTGAAGCACTTCCTTCGTCGACATGAACAAGAAAAATCTTCAAAATATATCGATCAGACTTCAGATATGTTTGAAAGGGTTTTTTATTATAAAAATAACAGCTGCTTGCTGCTACTAATGTAGATTTACTTCAAATATAATTTTAACAGCTCTAATGAAGACAATTCGATAACGTCGTGGTTCCAAAATTTTCTATTAGACAAGGAACTTTGGAAAGTGTGTTTAGTTGGAGCTTCCTGAGTATGGCGTACTTCAAAACAGCTTTTTGAGAAAACATATTTAGGAGATATGATCCTATCAAGAGCGATTTAGCTAAAGGTGGTCAAATACCTGTCTGTGTAGCCTAGATAATTCTTCTTCAGCCATTGTCAGCATTTCTTTATCATTGGCAGAGCCGATGGGGGCTGGCCGTTGTTGGTTCATCATTATTTATTATAAATGTGATCAATTATAAATATCAAATTCAACTGACTACGTTATTCACCGTGTTATTTACTGGATTGTTACCAAGCAACACAAACGATTACCTGGCCTGTCACAAGTGAATAAGTCGATAGAACGTTACATGAGGTTGCTTTTTATTTAATTTTTTTAGTTTGTATCTTCCTGAGCTACAAGCTTCAAGATAGAGCTTCATCGAAGGATATATTTCTATAATGGCGTTTCACTTAATCTAACATCAAATGCGACAATCATGAATTAATCAGATATTATTGCAAAATTTATTATCAAAGCATGATTGTTTTTTTATCTAATTAATCAATAAAAAATAATTTAATTAATATAGATTTTGATCAATTATTATGTTGTTTCTCAAATTTTAAATACTTGTATGACTTGGAAAATATCCTAGCTAATTTCCCCTTTTTTGTCATCGGAGTAGATTACTTTCTGCACGATAAACAGGGTCACAGCTGAAATTATTACAAGCTTTTATTTAACTTGGCCTATTTATATGTTAGTATTTATGTTCAGGACAAATCTTAAAACTCAATTTCAAACCAGTTTACGTTGACCAATCGAGCTGAATTTAGATGCATTTTAACAGCAATAGAGAAAAATTGTGTATCACGCTATTATTTGAAAACTTGAGAAGGAGCTTCAATATCGTTTAAAGTTTATGAAGCATAAAACGGAATATTTCGAAACGCAAAAAAAATATTTCTGAATGTTTAGTTCATATTTATTTAGTATTTTAGAAGTAGAAGCAAAAATAAATACATGGGCCTTCTATAGTTCTTCCGTTCATTAGATACGTTTTCTCAACCATAAGGTAAATGCAAATAAAGCCTTGAACCCTAAAAGACATATCAGTAGCGTGCTCAAGAATGAAGCGTAAATTAAATAATCATAGCTTGGTGCCTATATTTAAAGACTACAACAAGTATCGCTGTCCATTGAGAATGCTTTTTTGACATTATACAGGGTGTTGCTTAATGATATGCTAATATTTAAGGGTGTGAATCTATATGAAAAATTATTGTTAGTTTCCTTGATAAACTATGGTCCAAAAATGTTTCCTTACAAAAACTCGGGGTGTTGAAGTTTTAGGAAAAAAATGGAAATTAATTAATATTTTCAGAACCGCTTCAGATATTTCGCTGATATTTAGTACGTAGTGAAAGTTGATAAAGTTGCATATTTTTCAATGCAGTGGCGTGCGTACGGATATTCACTTCGGCATTTTTTAAGAAAAAAATGGTTCGCCAATGGTTTTTTGTCAAATAAAAATTATTTGTGAATTTCCCGTTCAATTTAAAACAAATGATCTCTCTCGAATTGTTTTCCTTCGATGCGCCATTTTGGAGTAAAAAAATAAAAACCGTTATATTGTCCGAGAAAATTAATGTAATAATTGAGGAATGCAATTTAGCAATAAATATCTAGTTGCTCTGGAATATGTCACTGGCTTTTGACATCTGACAAGTCTCTGTTATTCAAATCTGTTCGCTGTGACGTCTTGTTCGTTATTTAGCTTTTAAAATCTTGTTAATAATGGTGAATTATTCAAATGCAGAAATGCATTATGTGCCGACGGCAATGGTGAGCAAGCCAGACGGATTTATCACCAGAGATATCCCGATCGTGCTTTGCCAGATAGTTGAACCTTGTCTAATATTCATGGTTGTCTTGTTGAAACTGATTTAGGTGTGAGAATACCTGAAATTGAGGAAGCAGTGCTGCACGATGTCGAAAGACATCCTGAGTACGAGGAACATCGCTAGACACTTAAATATTTGCCATTAAATTGTTTGGAGAATATTAGTCGATTTTTTGTTATATTCTTACGATATTTTAAGAGTACAGGCATTACTTCCCATTGATTTTCCAAGGCGTGGGACCTTTTGCCAGTGGTATCTTCAAAAAACTACACAAAATCCGCAATTTGAATCAATGATTCTGTTGACGGACAAAGCTAATTTTTCTCGAAATACCATTCAGAATTTCCACAATAGTCATTTGTGAGCAGAAGAAAATCCGTATGCCGTAACCTCAACCCATTTCCAACACCAATTTTCGGTTAACGTATGGGCAGGAATTATTGCCAACTACTTTATTGGCCCATTCTTCTTGCCGGGATGACTTGAAACACAGACTTAAATTAATTTTCTTCAACAACAGTTGAATTTGCTGCTTGATGATGTTCCGTTAGTAATAAGAAAGACACAATATGTGGTGCATGCATGATGGTGCACCAGCGCATTTCAGTGTAGCGGTTCGTAATTATTTACAAACTGTTTATCCAAATCGTTTGATTGGCCGCGGTGGGCCCCAAGAATGGCCACCAAAGTCCCCAGACCTCAACAGTTTAGATTTCTTTTTGTGGGGCTATCTTAAGACACTAGTGTACACAAGTCCCATTAACACTGTAGAGAAATTAAGAGAAAGAATAGTTGCAGCTTGTGATAGAATAACAAACACTCCAGGGATATTTCAACGAGTGCGCAATTCCAGGAGAAGGAGGGCGGAAGCATGCATACTAAGTGAAGGGGGCTATTTTCAACAATTTTTGTAATCATTTCGTTGCCTTTAATGTTATGTTTATGTTATCAGTTGTTGTTGTTCATGACCCCTAATGTGTTTAATTTTTCCAATTTAATTAATAATAATTTTGCAAGTTACACAATAGAACGGTTTTTATCTTTTTACTCAAAAAATGGAGCATCGAAGAAAACAATTCAAGAAAGATCATTTGTTTTAAATTGAACGGGGAATTCGAAAATGGTTTTTATTTGCCAAAAAACCATTGGCGTACCATTCTGTTCTTAAAAATATCGAAGTCGATACCCGTACGCACGCCACTGTTAAAGCTAAAAATTATTTTTGCATTGAAAAATATGAAACTTTATTAACTTTCACTACCTACTAAATATCAGTGAAATAGCTGAAGCGGTTCTGAAAATATTAATTAATTCCCATTTTTTTCCTAAAACTTCAACACACCGAGTTTTTGTAAGGAAACATTCTTGGACCATAGTTTATAAAGCAAACTAACATTAATTTTTCATGTAGATTCACACCCTTAAATATTCGCATATGATTAAGGAACACCCTGTGTAAGTTTTTTACGTAATAACCCTGCCGGGCTTAAATGAAGTCAAACCATGGTATTGAGAAGTCCGAGAGTCTCGCACGAAGTTCTGTTACGCAGCTGCTCTGTTGCTCTGCATGATAAGCTGCGTAGCTGTTTAGTATTGTATAAGCTGTGTCTTCTGCAGTTACGCCACTGGAAATCGATACGTGTACTTTTCCCTAGTCCGCATCTGCACGTGCATATACGAACAGCAGCAGGAACGAATTCACAGCAGGAAACACGACAATATTGATTAGTCAGCAGCAAGTTGGTGAACCTGATCAGTCTGGGAGAAAGGCGGCGGCGTTCAAGACCTCCTTTTCATACGATATCATGACAAAACCGCCGGCAACGCGACCTTCTTATCCCTATCACTCCCTTTCACATCCCTTTTAAAACCCAGAACACGGAATAATGCTAAGCGATCGAAAGTTCTACATGGACTGTCTGAGTGTAAACGGGCTTAGTTTAGAAAAGTGCTGCCAGGAGAAGCAACAGACTGCTGTGAACATAACACACCACACAGTAAAACATCTCAGAAGTAAATCCATACAAGCGAATTGTTTGCACAGGATCATCCCAAGGCATAAGGATGTATCAATAAACAAGATCATCGGCGGAAACGTAGAAGAGATATACCAAGAGCATTTTGGACGATACTACGATCATCTTAACGATGTAATAGCGAGTAGCAAGAAGTCGAAATAACCTACGTCATGCTTTTATAAACAAATTGCGATTCTAATTCACCAGCGACGACAAAACAACATCACGCGGCATCGCCCTTTCAGTTCGAATTCACCTTTTGTTGTGGACATTTGATCATTGTTAAGTGTGCGCGCAACACAGTAGTTAATGTGACACGTACGTATCGACAGAATATGCCTTTTCGCTTCGTATGCCTTAAATAAATATTGTTAACAAAGATATATATACACACACTCGTCCATATATATATATGTACTACAACCCACACCTTGATGCTTGCCATGCCATCGTTATACTGTGATACTATACAGGGTGTTTGAGAAAGAGAAATGGATTGCAAGAACGCGGTTCCGTCATCACCGGTGGCACCCACTGCTTTTATCCAGAGTACCAAAGACCTGGATAGGAAGGTTCTCAGAGAGACATTGTATTCGGAGATCATCCAAAGACACAGAAGGTGAGTAAAACATGTTTATTATAGATCAATATTACATCTTGATAAACAAACTCAAAATTTATGTTTGTGAGAACATATCTAGCATGTGTTCCCAAAATATAGGACAAAAAACTTGAGGGGTGGTTCTATGAACTGACCTGTTTAGTCTTTTGTCAATTTTCGAAAGTTTGCCTCGGTTTAGGGGTACAGACAAAAACTTTTCTAGGTTTCAAAAAATGACTAACCCCTCATCGTAAGTAAGGAGATACATTTTTCCTATGCTGATGCCGAGCTCTTTCTAACCAGTGTTATTTTTCATTGAGTTATGTCGAGAAATTATCTGATTCCTTAGAGAAATGTCACATGATCAATATTTACTGCGGTCCATACCATCAGTATTTGCTAATTATTCCGCAAAATGGCCGTGGATTTCCACGTATACATCAGTAATAATAATAATATTTATTACCCATTAGACATGTATAGGGTTCGTCAACAAACAATTTACAGTATGTATATACATAAAAAAACAAACAGTAAAATGGCAAGCAACAACAAACAATAGCATAAATCAGATATTTTAAAATGGACTCCATAGGCTAACAACAGCAGATAAAATAGATTAGCTTTCCAGCAGTTAAAATTAATAATTAACAGAAATACAATATAAAAATATATAAAAGGACACACAATAGGTAAGTGGATAACAAACAATACAAAAAAAAAGAACATCTAAATATCCACAAAGTCACTGATGCGTAACAAGTCTTATTAATAAAATAGGTTCTTAACTCAGCTTTAAAATTATTTAAGGAGGTAATTGTCTTAATATACTCAGGCAGCTTATTGAATATCTTTGGTCCTAAAATAGAGGGAGAGCTTACATCGAGCAAAGGGTAGATGAATGTCGTGCTGCCTACGAGTACTCGTATTGAATGTATTTATATTACTATTCAAGGTGAAATTATCTCTGTTAATATACGTATATATTGCCATTTCATAAAGAAACAACGACGGCAGTGTTAGAATTTTTAATTTCGGGAACAAGTCTCTGAAACTGTATATACTGTCAACACCTGCTATGCACCTTATTATACTCTATATATACTGATAAAAATAAAATACGCTGAGGTTCAACGTTCAAATTTGGCTGACGTCGTAATTTGGAGCGCCAGAAGCGTCCAATATCTATGTTAGAGCGCGCCAATGGCGTCTGTGGTCCCGTCAGTCGGGTTGCTAGACAACGAGGTGCTTTTAACTCTTTCTAACACACGTATCGTACGACGTCAGAGGTATTTGGTGTTCAGTGTATTCCAAATTACAGCCCATCAACTATATTTCATTCACAATGTCAGACAATTTTCCACCGGCATTCCGCTGCCTAGCATCTAACTCGATGAAAAATAACTTTTGTGTTTTGAAAAAAACGCGGATAACGCAATTTCTGACGAGGAATTTTGCTCTCTTGCATTCTAGTTGGATGGGACTAGTTATTCTGATGATTTGTGTAGATTGGAAAAGAAACATCACATATAGTGATTTTATGTGTTAACAAAAGTTATTTCTACGTTTTTTTTTTTTGTTCTGTATCCGTGATACAAAGCTCTTTTCAGAAAAATAATCCAAGAAACAATATGATCTTAAAATAGTCCAAATACCAACTAAACCCATAGATACCATATTTAGACATACTTTGCACGTCCAAAAGATATAATCGCTTCATTAAAAAAAATTCGATCACTAATATTTCCTTTGAGGGGTAAACTTAAAAATTCGTGTTGAAATTTTGTTTTGATTTCTTGGAATTTTTCTTTAGTTCTATGGACCTTAAGAGTTTCCTGTCCCTCAACTAATGTCTGCTTCGTGATTTGCGTTCTTCGTACTAGCAAAAACATAATTATTACGAAAATATGACCTAGTATTTCTAAGAGATGTTATTATTAGCTAATCGAGATTGAAATTACCAATTATAGGACGTTTATCTGGATTTCTGATTGCGAACGAAAACAAGTAGTGATAAACACTAGCCGTAAACAATTGCATCAAAGATCCGGATTCGACCTTCGTTGACGTCACTGTTCCATTAAATTAATTGGTCTATCGCCATAGGCAAACTTCGAAAGCGATGAACATGTCACATGAACGTTGACAACCCAATTAAGAGACCACCAGATTATTATTATCTTCTTCTCCAATGTTGAAGTACTCGCTACGGTTACCTCCATTAAGTTTAAGTGTCAGACAAATGATCAGGGAGCGTTTTTTAGGTATACGCTTGATAAGTAAAATATACCTAATAAGGTACCCGTTTCTTAAGCAATGAGTGGCGCTTTACATTTTAAATTACGAAAATATAGATGACTAAACTAGGTTTGCATCGTTTTATCAGTATGTTGTTAATTTTCTGAATGCGTAGAATTTAGATGACCAATGAACCGTTTTCTAAAGAAATATATAATAATAATAATGCCTTTATTGACTCATCCACACTCCAAGGTGAAGTTTAGCTAGCTACTCTGCTACTTAACCTTACAGCGTAGGAAAATGGACTCAAATAAATAACAACTCATTAGCATACGTTTAAAGAAATTAACAAGATGATATTAACAAGGCAGGTAAGGCTTAAAGATAATAAGCTGGATGAATACAAGGCTATGAATGAGCACTAATAGAAGTCGAAAAAAAATTGTTATTTTTATTATACTGAAAATATGCTATAGATGACACCTTACTGTAATGTCATATCCAGAATTACGAGAAAATTAAAACTTTATTAACTAGTGTGGCTAGCAGATCCCAGAAGATCTTTCTTGATGTTAAGAGCATTATACGCTTTCACAGCATTGAGGGTTAAGCTATTATGGAAAATATTAGTTTTATAACTGTTGAAGTAGGAGTTGTGCCTGAGATTTCTGGTATCAGGATCACCGCGTGAAGAAAATAAGTAGGTACCCTATTGTATCTGAGTCTTTGGACTAAGATGAACAGGCATGTAAATTGTGCCCGACCTTCAACCACCTCAACTCATTGATCTTTTAGGACACATGACTAAACCTTTGCAGACCATAAACAAACCTACATCAGTTATTTTGAATTTTTGTACTCTAGATCTGGTCACGTAATCACGACAAGGAAAGTAAACCACATTTGAATAATTTATTAACGACATCACCAAAGTTTCGGCTTGTCTTTGGCCAGTCTCGATTAAAGAATGAAATCTTTAAACGCATGTATGTTAATCTAGATAAATTTGCAACATGTTGCTTAAATCTCAACTCTTAATCCATTTACACGTGCTGTAGGGCTTTTATCTTACTTTTAAAATCGATCCAACGAACAGTCTCAAGTACACTTTATAGAACTATTTCTCGTACTCAAGGGTCAAGCGCTAACTATAGCAAGAATATGTTCATATTCAACGAATTAAATTATACCTAATGATACCGAATTGTCTATTATCTACTGTTCATTAGATCAAATATTTACAAACAAAAATGTAAAAAAAAACTATCAAACAATCGTTGGGAATCTTTATTTACCGCAACCCTGGGTATGACCTCTTTAATAGATAAATAGTACAATAGTACAAAAAAAGTTTATTGCGATGATGAGTCTATTAATGAGTTTTTGATGTCAATACTAAAAAGATATGAAATGTAATAATAGAAGGTCGTTGTCCGATGCGATGTTACAAACGAAAATGAATCGCAGGAACTGCGTGTCGCAGGTTGGAAAAATGTCCGCATATTCCAGAATTTAAAACAATAGATATTTTGATTATTGTTCTGGCATATATCCAAAATGCAACGTGTATTTTGGGTATCAACAGAAGCAATAAAATTCTTAGTTATAGGCGTACATTCCCCTGCAGTGATACAGAATAAGTAGATATAGCGCGATAATCAAAGCTGGGCACACAAACCATGCATAATACGCTTAGCAGCAACAAAAATTATTTGTACTCAGAGTAACAAAAACTAGGATGTCAAACTTATTTTGAGGAAGCGGTTTTTCGAAAAAATCGTAATAGCCCATTAGTCACTATCGTGAAAATTTGATATAATAATATAATATATGTAGCATGTACAGAAATATTATACAGGGTGGCGCATCTAAAACGAAACAGACGCATTTACTGGCAGCTCAGTTTTTTTTAAAAACGCTCAGACCCGTCGATTTTGTTTTCGAGGGGGACACATGTTTGGCAAAAAATCACATTAGCACGTGCGGCCCCCTAAGCGGGGGTGACACCACCTCCCAAAATCTTAAATGGAAAGGGGGGTCAAGTGATACCTTATTTTAAAGGTCTTTCAATTACCTTTATAATGATATAAAATTAATGTACTTCAGTTCAGTAGTTTTAAACTATAAACTAATACATACTCATCATTAGTGAAGATCAATACATTTGGCAGCAAAGTAATTTAAAAATGAAGAATGAACTGACCCGTTAGGCAAGTAAATGTTGAAAATGGCCACCATGACTCTCCATGCAATAATAAAGATATTGCTCAAACATTGCCGCACATTTTGCAATATTTGAGGAGTAATTGAAGGCACTCAT